TCCGTGGAATCCGGTCTTTTGTATGAAAACTCAGCGTATGAGTGATATGATATATATGTTGAATATGAAATCACTCATACGTTTAGGAACTGGTGTACTGAACTAGTTCATAGTTCAGATAGACACAACTATACTTTAAACATCAAGGCCAATATAATTTGGGACACACCCGGAAAATACTCTTCAAATATAAAATAGCCTCTAAAATATCTAGAATCTATGAAAGATCTTCATATCTTCTTCTCTAGTACATATATTCATAATAAAACCTTTAAACCCACAAAAAGTCTAACCGTTTATAGGAAATAATATACATATTTTATACGTTCTTAGTACACCTATAAAAACGTTAATTTATTTAAGATTATTATTTTATGACTCATTAAGACTATTATCTTCTTCAAAAGGCCAGAAGAATACATTAAAAGACCTTCGGATGTGCTTCTATTCTTACAAGAATTTCTGAACATCCTCCACAAACATGGAAAGTATAAAATGGTATTTTATCCTGGTAGTAGAGCCAGTTGGTTAAACTCCGACTCCAATCTAATTTCCCCTTAAATTGACACAAATATTTCAATATAAAGGTTGTAAAAAAATATTTGTACTCGGTTGTCTGAAACCCTTGGCCACAGATGAGCCCTATTGTAATTTCTGACAATCAGAAATATATGTATCTCTCATATATATCTTATTTTGTATTTCAAAACAAAAAATTAATTCAATTATGGACCTTGAAAACAAATAAAATACATCGGCACAGAATACAAAATTCCGAAAAAAAACGAATTTATATTCGTCCAAGTGGAAATTGTTATATCCTTCACCAAGTGAAAACTTGGCTTATGGTTAAACTTTATGTTTTCAAAACCCTTACCATTTAGAAGTTCTAAAATATTTTTTTTTAAAAAAGTAAATATACCTACAAATATCCCGAAATACCAAACTTCAGCTGATGTTTTGGAAAATTTGAGCCAAGACCATCAAAAAGCCTAAAATAAGGAGAATATAGAATATTTTTACGAGCAGTAAATGTACTCACCGAGAATCCGAATTACCAAATTACAGCTGATTCGGTTAAGTTAAATTACCGAAATTCAGAAGGAGCCATCATAAAAGGGACTATACCTAAACCGATTGGCCGATATATTCCATGTCCTTGTAGGAATGATATTTATGTCTGAGTAAAATTTCAAAGAGCTGTATTTAATAGTACTAGCTCTTTTGTGATTTCAATGGACGGAAACATGGACATGGCTAAATCCCAATATAATTTCACCCTGATTATATATTCCTTCGAATATCTCATGGTATTGAAAACAAAAACCCTAAAAATCAACTGTCAGTACGTGATGCAGACCAACTTTTTCGATAATTTAAGAGTTGTGGGGCTAAAAAACCAGACTTAAATTGAAGTTTTCTAGGAGAGAACCTACAATATGGACCGTAATATCCAATTTTCAATGTCATTTATTCTAGATTATGATCCAAATATTGTACCAAATTTCAAAGCGTTACTTAAAATAAATGTGAAACAGACTGAAGGACATTGTTTAATCGAAAGCGAATTTAATGATTGAGATCGAGTTGTAGAATACCTTCTAGCAGAAGATAAAAATAATTTTTATTCACAGAGCATATAGGGTTTTCACCGTTACAGTTTTTCACCCGTACATTGAAGTCCTTCCAGCCCTTAACGATCTACAGAAGATTTCTAATGATAGAAGTTAGATCTTCTATAAATAGAAACCTTTTTTTAGATTACAATGGAATACCTATATGAAATATAATATTATATATGATCTTCGTAGGCTTTCTTTGCGTAGAAAATCGATTAGGTTTTCCTTTATATAGAATATACAAAAGGGGTCCTTTCTACCCAGACAACTTGAAAGCCAGCAGCTTTTAAGATATAAACTTTTTAGAATTTTTCAAACTTTGAATTCAATGTCTTTATTAAATCTGACATTTTATTTCTTACACTACAAAGTCCTGCAAAATCCACCTGTCCTGGACGCCAAAATCACCCAAATGGTGGATCGTGTGTTTGAGTGTTTAACTTCATAATTGACTGGCAATTGCGTGGAAATATATATTTTTTTATGAAAATATTCGATACTCCATTCATATCTTCGTTTTTTTCTATTTCAACAATAGGCGACATGGACACACAAACCCACAAACAAACACACAAACACTAATAACATACAAACCGTTTTAGTTGTACGAAAGTCAAAATAAAAGAAGTGAACCTTAAAGGACACCGATGCCCTTTGGGCACATGAGTCTTATTGTTTCGAATTGCTTGTTTTATTTGTTTCGACCGCTTGTGTTCTCCAGCTGGTTATTATATTCAATGAGATTTACGAGGATATTTACAGTCTTATTAACTATTATAGCCTATAACTGTTTACATGAAATCGAATTTTCTATTTCAACAGCTAGCCAGCCAGTCGTACACTCACCACTCCACAGTCGGTCACCCTTCGTGAGGGTTACCTTGCTGTGGCACGTTTATACCCCCATGCTGCAGTGTGTGTATTAAATTAGATGGAGATCTATACCAGCCGTTCTACTCCCTTACTCTAGTCGACTATTAGGACGTCCGTTATTATTTGCAAAATAATCATCAGCAAATTTCGTTATCGTTTATTTCTTGTGTTTTTTTTTTTTCCTATTTCTTACCTCTCTTTCATCCGAATTACATTGCCCTCCCCAATTTTTTTTCTGCAACTGAACTGGCGAAAACTACACGTTTACTATTAAACAATGTTAACGAATTTACTCGCTCTCCAAAGTGGTGTGTGTGTGTTTGTTTGTTGTAATTTTATTTTGGCAAGGGCTATTTGTACATGCAATTTATTAAAGATAATGACCCAAGTGTCTTCTATAGAGTGTAGAGCAATTGTGTGGCGGAGAATCCCTTCAGGATAAATGCAATGCCACTAATACCACGATAATAAAAATATATGGGTATGACGTGAAGGGTTCAAAATATGAAAGGGAGCGTTGATATAGAGAATATCTCAGCTAAGTTAAGTACCCAGGGACTGGTTATAAAACATTTGGGCTTTAAGAGAAATTGTTAAGAAAATGCTTATAATAACGTAGTTTATTCCCCATAGTTGTAAAATTGCACTGACAGATCGTATAGACATCAGCAATTCTTCAGAGATATATAAATTACCTCTGACGTCTGTATCGAATGACTTTCGATCAACTTTCAAAATTAATTTCTTAAAACGAAAAAATTAAACTCGCATGGAAATGAGCTTTGGTGACACCTAACAGAATTATAATAAATATCAAATAAAAAAAGGAAAATCTTGGTTAGATGCTTCAAAAGTCAAATTAAATGGTAAAATCGGCCGTTGCCACTATTGAGAGAGAAACCTTCAAAATATCGAAAGCCATGGTACATAAAGTACATAAAGTTTTTTTCAAGAAGAAATTCTACCCAATGAGAAGCCAAAAAGTAAAATTGCGGTTAAGCTTAGCCAGAATTTCTCCAAGAAATACCGTTGTATGGGAACTCCACAAAAAAGTATACCAATATCGAACCAAAAAAAGTCATTGAAATTCCAAAAAGTGCAAGAACTTACACCGAATCAGAAAAAATAGACTAAAAAGAGCTAAAGAGTTGCTTCGCTTGGCCGAAAGTGGTGAACTGCCGAATTTGGTTTTCTCCGATGAGAAAAAATCCGTTGTCTTGCCAAAGAGGTCAGTCGGTTGGTCGCCATAACAGCCGATGATCGCTCTCCGCTCGTATTAATCGACCGTGGCATCAGAATAAATACCGAATATTGTCGCGAAAATAATCTGGAGGGTGTATTAATGCCTTGGGAAAGCAAACATTTTGGCCGCAGATCTTGGACGTTCCAACAGGACTCAGCACAATAGCACTCAACACGCACTACCCAAGAATGGTTACAAATGGTTCCGCGCTTCATTTCCAGCACACAATGGCCACCAAAATCTTCGGATACCAATCCGTTGGACTATTGTGGCTGAAGTATTTTGGAAAGCAAGGTTGGCACTAAAAAATACCAAAGTGACCTCAAGAAAGCGCTTCACCGGCAATGGGCCGAAATACCGCAGAGCAACATTCAGGCAGCGTGTGGCGGTTTCATTATCCGTTTAAAGGCCATAATTCGTGCTAAAAGTGACCAATTCGAACAAATCTAAATTTATTCTAACATTTGATGCTATTTCCGACATTTTTGCTTTCATTCAATAAAATTAAAAAAATTAAAAATTATGGCGTTTGACTTTGTTGCAGTTTTTTTTATTTTTATCTCACCCTGTATATCCATTTTTTAAATAAGAGGTGAAGTTAAAGCGATGTCGAAAGGGAAGCTAGATCTTCAAGGGTGCTTATTTTTATATTCATTTACCATGGATTGAATCATCATATGCTCATTAATTTCCATAAAAAAAGTACCAAATTATCAATCATTTTTAAGCCCTCCCACTTTTTTCAAAAGAAGAACTTATCCTTCAAGAAATTATATATTTATGAAAACTAACTGCAACACCATCCCAAAAATATTTTCAACACTATAACTTTTATTTGACAATATTTAACTTTTGTTGTCAGCTAATAATACAAATGACTGTCACTCAAACCTGAGAAACGTTACATAAAATTAACGATCTACACACAATTGTATTATTGAGTGAGAACTATATTGGAAAACAAAAGTAATTTATTAAAAATGATTTGCAATTAAATAAATGATATATTAATTATTTGAGTTCAGTTTCAATTAGCTTCTTGGTATTTGAGGTTAAGTAAACAAATAATCTTTGAACACAGCTGCAATTATTTTAATTTAGGTTATAATAACTTCACTTCAAATATTTGTAAATAAATACACAGCCAAGGTAATATGAATGTGTTTGTTCAGAAGTTAGGTTATGATTAATTTTTGGTTATTTTCAGACCACAATAGTATTTAAAAAATAATTATATTAATTTCATAAATTTTCTCCCATTGCAGATGCCCACAAAGAACAAATAATGGCAGCCAGCAAAATAGTCCAAAAGTATGGTGGGCGCAGCGCCGCCGAGGATGGCAGCAAAGTGATATTCTATGCCCCACCAGCTGGTGGTCTAAGCTCCTGCTCTCCCTCTTCAACCTCCTCGGCCGCCAATCAGCAACGCAACGGGGCCAATCACAAAACCGTCATTAAAATTGAGAATTCCAGTGACAATCCAGAGGTGTCGCATTTATATCGCGAACGCAGTATCGAAGAAACTGAGGCTGCCCATGACTTGTTGTCACTTTCTCAGAGTTTACCGCCCCTCACACCGCCGTGTGTGGTCACCATAATGCATCAGGATAGCAGTGCTGGCGATGTGAAATCGCGCCACCATCCCCACATGCAGGAGATATCAAGTTCTTCCAATCCAAGCAACAAACCAATACATTGTGCCGCCGTCATACAACCCGATAATCTGAACGTCTTCATCGATACCGACCAAAATCCCATGGCAATGGCCAACTCAAAGATACGTTACATAAGCAGTTCATATGATCACCATGGCCCGCATAATGTGGGCGTGGCAGGCAACAATTGTTCTCCACTGACACCGCCCAATTCCGATCATTCATCGGATATTGATATCGATATGTCTTCCTCATCGGAATCCGGCCATTCACAACCGCCTCATCCGGGAACAATGCATGGTGTGTGGCGTTCCGAATTTATGCCCGACAACGGCAAGGCCGATTTAAAAATCAGTCTCAACATTATCGATGGTCGCACCAAGGCCTGCAAGAAACGGGCCGGAGACCAACAGGCGACCAAATCGGAGTCGACGAAAAAATCAAAACGTGGCTGTTACAAATGTTCGGAGTGTGGCAAGCAGTATGCTACATCCAGCAATTTGTCGCGTCACAAGCAGACACATCGCTCGCTCGACTCTCAGTCGGCCAAGAAGTGCAACACCTGTGGCAAAGCCTATGTCTCCATGCCCGCCCTGGCCATGCATTTGTTAACGCACAAACTGTCGCACAGCTGTGAGATTTGTGGCAAGTTGTTTTCGCGCCCCTGGCTTTTGCAGGGCCATTTGCGTTCGCACACCGGCGAAAAGCCCTATGCCTGTGTTCACTGTGGCAAGGCTTTTGCGGATCGTTCCAATTTGAGGGCACACATGATGACCCATTCGGTGGACAAGAATTTCGAATGCAAGCGTTGCCACAAATCATTTGCCTTAAAATCATATTTGAATAAACATCTTGAATCGGCCTGCATCAAGGAGTCGGGGGGCAGTGGCCAGCAATCGGGTGACGATCATGACGATCCAAATAAAATTGATGATGATCAGTGTTTGAGTAGCATGGCCGTGGAGTCGATGTATTCCAGTGATGAAAATGATGAGGATATTATTGTAGCTTAGGAAGAGGAGGGGGAGCGGGAGGCGGAGCAGGATTTTAGTGGTAAGTCAGTTTGAGGCAAAAATGCATGACGTTCAAGTTGCTGAGAAGATGGCGAAAGACAAATGTGAAGAAGAAATCTGGCACATGTATGACCAGAATCAAACCCTACAACAATTTCAATTAAACATCTGTAGTTTTAGATTTAAAAAAACCAAGAACAACAACAACAATACTCAATAGTGAGAATGATAAAAATTTGTTATAAAAGAAACTTAAAGAAGAGCAATTTCTAGTCATAACTTTAAAGATAATAGTTTTTAATTTTCAATTTGTTTTCAGATTTTATGTAGTATCCAGATTGTTTGGTTGAAAGTTTTGCTTTTTTAATGGCATTTTTTTTTAATTTCGAATACTGTAATACCAGAGTTAAAATTTTGTTACGTGAACATGATCAAAATACAGCCTAAAATGCAGAGATATAAGAGAAATAAGGCGATCTAGTTATATAAGTATGGCTTAACCAATTATTATATGTTTGGATCGGCATTCCGGTCCCTCTATTTTTTATGAAAGCCATCTGTAATGATTTCCTCATATTGGTATATTTCACATAAATTTTGCGGCAAATGATCGGTTTTTAAATATTACCCATTTTCTACCAAAGCAAAACTTTTGACCAAATACTTTAATATTTTATTTTTCCTTAAACTTTCAAGCATTGCTGCAGAGGGCCCTTTAAGAGCCCAGCTAGATATATAGAATCTCCAAATATTTTACTGTAGATATAAAAAAGAAGCAAAAATTACAAACATAGATTGTTACAAAAAAAAAAATATTTAAAAAAATTCAGGCGTTAGGCCAACCAAAAAATTATATAAAAAAATTAAAAACACATTTTTTATAAATTATATATTTATAAATAAAAACAAAAATATATGAAATGCAAGGCAATTTTTTATTTTTACATTATATTAGGAGCATAGATTTAGTTACGTTTTTAAATAAGATTTAGATTTAAAACAAAGCAAAACAAAGGAAACCCTAAGCAAAAGCAAACACAACAAAACAACAACAACAACTTAAAGTAAAAATCCCATGCAACGAATATTATGGAACATAAGTAGAAATTCTATTTATACAAAATAAATAATTAAATTAAATTATATAATAATTATTACTATTTAAAATAAACAAAACATACAACCAAAAGATCCAGTTGATTAAAACTTGTAAAACAAAAAATTATACATTTATAATTATATATATATATATTATATACATACATGCATATATATAAAATATATATTTTAAAATACATTTATAGGAATACCGAATGAAAAAAAAAGATATGAAAACAGTAATTCTAAACAAAAATAATTACTACTCGCCAATATAAACAAATGACACATTTTCAATTCAATTGGGCAACAAAATTCCAGAATTTTACAATTTGCGTTTTTACAAATCGATTCCAAAAATTTACAAAAATTCAATTTTTATATGTTCAACAAATATGTAGAAATTTGAAAAAGAGGATGTTTTTGGGAATTCTAAATCTGGTTTAGTATTTTTTTAAATAAAATAAAACCCATTCAAATCTCCATGTACATGCCCACAAAGTTTATCGGAATAGGAAACTGAATTTTCCATAACTGAATTTTGTTCCCAATGATAGGGAAGAGTACCTTAGGGTGAAGGCAACATTAGAACCCATTATGACCCGCAAATACCAATTGTTAGACATATTCTTGGGAAAATGCGACAAAAATCACCAAAAAACCGAATATCGGGTTGCTTAATGGAGCTATACAAAAACTTGAACCTATATATACAATGTTTCGTCGCCGGAACTAGAACCAATTATGACTAACAAATACCAATTTTTAGACAAATACGTGGAAATGTGTAACAAAAACCAGATACCGATATATGGGGGCTATACCAAAACGTGGACCTACACATGCAATCTTTTGCCACCGGAGCTAAAACCCATAATGACGTACTAAATACTAATTTTTAGACAAAATCGTACAAAAATGTGGCAAAAATCATCAAAATACCGAATATCGGAAGGTTTCGTTATATGGGGGCTATACCAAAGCGTGGAGTGATAGATCTCATTTTGAATACCAACCATTCTAGACGCAATACAAATTGTTCTGCTAAATTTTGACGCTCTACGTCAAATAATGTGGGCTGTATCGTAATTTCAGCAGACAGACGTACATCGTTAAATCGACTTAGCATTTTATGCTCCTTTCCAAGGAAAACCCATCTTCTCGCCTGAGAGTTGGGACCTTCACCCAGCAACTACATGTTCGTGGTCGACCATTTTTTTTTTTCTGATTTTGAAGCAACATTACCCAGAATGTTAACTCCGGATTGTCTTGTGTCATGTTATGAGCATAAGCGTAAAATGTGGCTAGTACATCGTCGCTTTCGAACACTAGAAAAGGGATAATCGAAAATCTGTCTCATTTAACGGTGTGGTCCGCCAACGTAAATGCTACGCAATGGAAACGCATTCAGTCCTGCCAGAACACCGCCATAAGAATCGCAATAGGCTGCCTCCTTGTGACACCTATTCACCAGCTACATGAGAAGGCAAAGGTCTTACCGGTTGGGTGTTAAAAACACAACCAGCCCAGACAAGTAAGCAGAGACATTCATGATCTTGAGAGAGAGAGAGAGGTACAGAGATTTAAGAGAGAGTCTCTAGATCAACATGCCTTTAAAGCAGACCTCTTACGAGAAGGTTGCCATACCAGATCTCTTACGAGATCTATGATGATTCTATGAGAAGATCGCCAGTTCTTCATCTATGGGAAATCTCCAGTTCTTTTATGAGATGATCTCCAGATCTTCTATGAGAATATCTTCAGATCTTCTGTGGGAAGGTATCCAAATCTTCTAATAGAAGACCTATAGATCTTCTATGAGACAATATCCAGATCCTTTAAGAGATCTCCTGATATGCTCTGAGAAAATCTTCAAATCTTATTAAGGAAAATCTCTGTTTCTTCTTAGGCAAGATCTCCATGTCTTTTATGAGAATATCTCCAGATCTTATATGAGAATATCTCCAAATCTCCCATGAGAAGATAAGATCAGTTAAAGCAGAATACACAGTGAATATCTCACCCCGGGATTATTCCCCTCCCATTGCTGAAGAAGAACGAGAGCTACCGCAACAAACCAGAGTAGTTTAGGCACAACTGAAATCTGGATGGTACATCCGCCTCAATTCGTATTTGGCCCAGCTGAGCTCAGAACACCTGTCCAGAGGGTGACACAGGATCACATGACATGCTGCACCTCTTCAACTGCCCAGCCAAACCTACTCAGCTAACTTCCGTATCGCTTTCAACCAATACAGGTCGCTTCCTTTACCACATAGTGGTTAGGGTATTATGTTTTGCATTTGTCTGTAAAATGGACAAGGGAGCGAGATAGACCCATAGTTACTTTTGAGGATCTTCATAGAATCACTTTCTGAGTCGATTTATGCACGTCAATCCATCGTCCGTCCGTCGACCATCTATCCATACCTTTTTGTGAATAAAATGTCATTTATTATCTGATTGAAATGTAATTTTCCAAAAAAAAAAAAAAAACATTTGTTTGGCCCAAAGACGAACTCTATTGAAATCGGTTTAAATTTAGATATATTTCCCGATTTCGGATTAATTGCGCACCAAATGGCCAATATCAGTCCAAAAGACCTGAATTTTGACACATCCGAACGAATTCAGTCTAGAAGTAAGTTAATTAAAATTTGTGAAAATCGGTTCAGTTATAGCAATGGCTCTCATATATATGTTTCATACGATTTGGTGTTTCAAACCCTCACATTCGTAATATGGACTCCACAAGAATGATATTTGGTATCAGATACAACCCAGAAATACCTTTGCCAATTTTTATCAATATCGGCTCAAATTTGGCTATAACTCCCATATATATTCATTAATTGTGCACCAAATAGGCAATATCAATGGGTAATAGGTTGAAAAGAGGGGCGAAATAATCGCCACATGTCCTGGTGGACATACACTTAGGTCAGCTTAGGCCTTTTGTGAGTCCTAGACTAAAAAGGTTGTTAAAAAAGACTGGCAGTTTACAGTCTATTATATTTGAAATTCAGTTGCCCTAACAGAATTCCGTAACTGTTTTTTTCCTTTACCATGATCTGATAAAGGTATCGTATGGAGTCGCTCCCTAAGAATTGGGATATAATATTTGCATACGCTGGGCATTGGTAGAGAAAATACCCCAATGTTTGTAAGCACATCCTATCTTACACAGATGATCTTGTAGGCCCAGATACCCTCTAAGGATGCATGTTACCCCGCTAATGTCTTTCCTACCTAGTAATAAAAGATTCGTCGTTTTTATCTCATTGGAATCGCCACAAAGGATTTTTGAGGCTTTTCCTAAGCCTTCACTGTTCCAAAGGGATACGTTGGCGTTTTTTGCTCATTTCTTTAACTCTAGAAGTGACACGTTTAGTTTCAAAACCAGCCATAGATCTGTTTTGTAAACCTACAAAAATTTACTGATAAATTCGAATACAATTTATTAAACCAAATTTTAAATTCTCAAAAAATCACCCTCTTAAGCAGGCCATTGAGGCCATAATTAATTTTATAAAATAAATTTTCAAACTATAGAAACTAGCTCAAATAAATATAGATTTGAATTTTTAAAATAAAAAACAGCAGCAACTAAATAGAAAACATAAATCCCTCATAACGAAAACAATAGAAGTTGGAAAAGAAGCACAAATTAGAATGCCATCAAAACCATTTAGGAATGGAAATTTACAGCTTACAGCCATATACACTACTTAGCATGATTTCAACTTAAAATAGGGTCCAATAAGAACAAGAAAAATAAAATAACAAAAAACAAAATAGACAAAATGAAATTTAAAAAAGATTTGAACGATTTAACCAAACAACCGTAATTATGAAGAATTTTTGTTAAAAGAAAAATAAATAAATTTAAAATAAAAACCATAGAAAATTATAACGTCCATATAGAGTAGAGAGAATTGAAAACAAAACAAAAAAACAACAGAAATAAAAACCAAAATAAATAAATACTCCCTCTACAAACTTAAAAAAAATACCATTGAAAATTTAACTACAATTCCAAAGACTCTAAACAACAAACAGTGGCGTATTACTTTAATCTAAATCCCAAACTAAAAACAAACCTAATATATATCTCTAAAATCAATTTCCAAACTCAGATTTCTTAATACGAGTATCAATAATAACAAGAACAGCAACAACAACAACATTAACAATTTAACTAGAATTCCGAAAATCTCTTTTTTTTCAATTCTAGTAAACTTTTAATTAGAACAACAAAACCAATTCTTCTTAAACAAATAACAACAATCCTTAATCAAAACTCAAAAAAAAAACTTCTTCAAAACCCAAAAGGCAGATTTTTATTGAAATTTAAAATAACAAAACAAAATTATGATATATAAAATAATTTAAAAAAGAACATATCAAAAGGACAATACGTATTGTATAAAATAAAGAATTAACA